AACCGACGTTCGAAGATTCCATTCTAAACTCATTCGATAGAGAATTTTCTGCTGTACAAAATCCACCATCATTACATATTATTTCATTATTTTAAAGAATAGTGCAGAGTAGGAACAGGTAAGAAGAATAACTGCGATTTCCTATCAAAATTTTGGTGACTTTTCGTTTTTGTGTAACTTTTCGAGAAATAATGTGGTAACTGAGAGAAGAAGATGGTATAAAAATGTTCAGCGGATTGAGCGCGCTACCATTCATACTACGCTGCTTATTAGTTTAGTCACCTAAATTGTGAAGCTTTCAGTGCACAAGTTAATCTATACTTTCGGGTGACGTGGGATTTTGAAAAATAAAAATAATTATAACCTGTTCCTTCCGTCGCAGTTATTCTTCTTATCTGTCCCCACTCTGCACTATTCTTTAAACTAATGAAATAATATGTAATGATGATGATGGATTTTGTAGAGCAGAAAATTCTCTATCGAATGAGTTTAGAATGGAATCTTCGAACGTCGGTTGTGCTCGGAATAAAAGAGAACAAAAGTGTGTCATTATTTCTGGCCCACCCGTTAAACAAGGAAGAGAATTAACGTTAAGAAGTATGTTGCTTTGGTGACATAGGGAACAAAATGAACTGAAACTTTATTAATATTAGATTGATAAAAAGACTACAGCGTATGCCTATATATATGGCAAAGCCATTCGTTTGATTGTAAAAACCGGTAGACGATTTGTTTTAGAAAATAATGTCAGTTTTTTCTTTTCTGAATGCCTACACATCGACGATTTTTCGAGTGGAAAAGCGGTTCTGGTCCAGTAGAAAAACAAAGGCATTTTGAGATGTCTTCGAAGGGATTTTCGAAAAACTAGCTCAAAGCACTGGTCCGATTTAAGAGTAAGTGAACCACACTTGTTTTTTTGTATTTACTAATTGTAACACAAACTTATTTTCTTGATGATTGTGATTGATGAGGATGTTAAAAAGGTTAAAAAGCTCAGAAGTAAATTAAAATTTACCAGAACGAGTTGAAAACTTCAGAATCTGATTACTTCTGTCGACTATGTACGTCTCTTCCACTTTCAAGGTACTCCAAGCCACTGAGTACCAGTCCTGGAGCTACATGGAAATTACATATCACGTCCGAATCCCTCAAAGTCAAAGTCTCGCTTGGCTCCCACTTCGAAGAAGACACTTTAGGCTATTTACTCATGAAAAGAAAACAATATATTCCTGCTTTATCTTTGACAGTTACGAAACGGTTTCTCAGAAATCTTCTAGGAAACCGGTCATTCCGAAATGCTTTCAACCTTGTTTTAGTTATAAAAACCTAGTTTAAAATCTTGGATATCGAATCGCAAAAACCGCAAGTTTCTATCGGCATTCGTTGTTGAGTTACTCAAAAACCACTGATCGGCATATGAAAATCCATCAAAAGAGAACCTATTATAGGTTCACTCAGTGGAACTTGCACATAGGGCCATATTAATAGTAGAACCAACTTGTTGTTGTATTACCATTGAATACCGTGCGATCTTCAGTTGCAGATCGAACTGGTTTTTATGGTATTTTAATGTATGATAGCAGGAATACACTGACTGGAACAACTCGGTCCCCCAACCGAGTTCCCGACGCCATTTTAGTGAAACCTACAAATCACAGAATGGACTATGATAGTACACCTGGTGTACTCCAACAGCATACTACGGGACTGCAGAATGATCCCATTTCCATGGACAACATCCTTCCTCAAAATCGCCCAAAATGGTCATTTCTAGGCAAATTGCAATTTCAAATTGTTTGGATTGAAAACAAAAGCATCTGAGACCGTCAAATTTTTATCAAATAAGCTTTGACACATAATCTATTTGGAAATATGGCTGAAAGTCTCACGGTCGACTTCGCTTGAAATGGGTGCTACAGAAAAATTCAAGGTTTTCTGGATTTGGGCCCCTAGTGCGCCATCTGTTAACGAAAGCACGTTTTAAGCGCGCGGTTGCGTGGCTTTGTAGTAGATACTATCTACTATTTATGGTAAAATCTTCAAGGTTAAGTAATCTGTCGTTACTGAATTACAAGAGCGTAAAATTGGCTAATTTTCAAGGTGGCGGAATCCGCGTTTTTCGAGACTTTCCGTAAAATTTCAATATCTCAGCAGTGATACAACTTTTTGCTTAGCATCTTTTGTCAAAATTCATCAAAATGGTGGATCTAAAAGAGTCCGCTAGTTTGAAAAAGTTTTGAGTACATCGATTGAAGAACGTCGGTCGTGACTTACGTGCAACGGAGAGCTGAAAACTCTGCAATATATGGCGGATTTCTAGGCAGCCCCTGCGGGTATAACAAAGGATAAGCGGAAGTTGCTACTTTTCTAGCTAATTTATCAGACAAAACAGATTAAAACAAGCCCATTGTAAAATTATTAACCAGCGTGAATCAGTCAGTTTTCATCGAAATAAAATGTGTTTTGTAAGCAGTCTCTTAAATCTGAAAATAAGTAAAATATATGTTTTCATTCATTAGTGGCGTTACTACGGTTTAGCCGAAAAACAATGAAACGTAAACTTTTCGGGAAAAACTCAAAAAACCTCCGAAAAATAGTGAAAAATTCACCTTTTTTTCAAAAATATTTTCATGTTCCTTGACAAAATACATTTCAGTGCTAGTTCCGTCCCGATCTCAGTAAAAAAATTTGTAGTTCTGACTCCGCCCATGTCCATCATGAACGGGTCAAATGAGTTATATTATTTTTGTCCTGGATAACATCAAAGCTGTGATTTTTTTTCTAATTCAATATATGCTGTGTCTGTAAACGTGTTTTGTCGCAATAAAATCTTATGAGAAAGTTTCTTCTATTTTCTACATATCAAATTCTCCTTATTTCTCAGTGGATTAGCTTTCTTCCCTTTAGATTTGGAACAGTACACTTTGTACACTTTGCAAAAAGAAAACAAAGTGCACGCGTACACTCCGGAAAAAATTTTCATTAGAAACATTGCCACCAGCACTGTTAGATCCGATTCTGGACCCTCCTGGAAAACTAATATCATCCGTGCATTATGATAGATGCAGAGGTTGCGTTTTGTGTGAATGTGTAGAGGATAGTCTGATGGGATTAATCTATCCATTAAAATCAAAAGTCCAATACATCTTCATTGACTAGCAAGCTGTTCTTTCAAACAGTAATGAAGTACACTATCTCAGAGTAGTGCTCTAGACTTCATTTTTCTATAAGTTTATGCGGTCAGATCTTAGTACACGAAAATGAAACTGTAAATTTTTCTCCTCTTTTACACAACTAAGGGCTATTGTATTTCCAAGTTAGGGAGGACGAAGTGCATAAGTACGTTCTGATAATGCACTAAATTTTTGAAAAAAATTAACCAATCTGATTGCAAGATCGAAGTGGACTCTCTCGCTCTTCCTCTCTCTCTCTCTCTCTCTCTCTGTGATTACAGGAAAGAGAGATACACTGTAGTCGAGACGAAGAAGACGAGTTAGTCAGTCCGTCCGTTATTCATCATCGTATGGCGAAAGTATTGCTACAGTCAGGTGGTAGCATAGAGGAGAAAGATGGATCGATTACACATGAGAAAGAAATAACTGAACATTACAAGATCTTTTCATCTGCAGATGAATTTAAATATTTTATTTTTCCCAGTGTCGAAAAAATCATATTTCTCAGACCAATTGAAACATATCTCTATATTCTCTTTCTAAATCTTTTTAGTCACGAATAACAAACTATGGTCAAATACTATTTCTTTTTCGCTGCTGTTTTAGATTTAAAGGCGTAAAAAACAATCTTTACGATACGATTTTTTAAATAAAAAATAAAGCTCCGAAACGCTTGTCTTATTTATAAAACATACTTCTTTTTTCTGTTTTGTACATTATTCTGGTTGTTCAGTCTATTCTTCTAAATTATTTATTTTTGGTCTTGTGATTATGTACAAATAATTATTATGTATTACGATGTCTCTAGTTATTAAATGCTGGAATGAAACTCATACTCTATGGCCGAAACAACAATCACAAATACTAGAAGATCATTACGCTTATTAACGTAAGTTTGTCACATTCGATGATAACATACAGTAATTGGTTTTGGTTAATACGCTTTCTTCGCTTTTTAGTGCCGAAAAGAATAATAATCAAACGGCAAGTACCGCAGCAACATTGAAATCAGAAGGTAATCACAATTTGATATTACGATACATGCTCTCTCTTGTTGAAGCTGTTTTCATAATTTAAAAGATCTCTAACTCTGTTGAATCAGTCATCTCTTGGAGCAGAATCCTGTTACTCATAAAATGTTCCGTGCATTTCTGATAAAATTCGTACAAGATAATTGAAGCTATTATTACCGCGTCCTTTTCTGCATAAAAACGCTACTTCAGTGCAGTACTTGTAAATATACAAGTATCTTTTTAATTTATTTTCAGATAATACTCAACAGCAATCATTATCGTCATATTTTTTAACATCAACAGTTCGTTCAGCAAAAGCACGCGCAATTGAAGCTATTTCTGAGCAAAGTATTCAACGTCGTTGTCAACGTTCACAAACAGTTCAGTCTAATTTACAAGTTCCGTCCGAATCGACAATATCACATTCAACTAGCCGTAAACGTACAAGATCAAAACAAACACCTCCTCCATCTCTAGTACGTCAGCATTCTCCATCGTCACCTTCATCTGTGCATAATGTTTTATCAACTTCATTAAAACAACAAAAACGTAAACGCAGTAGAAAAGACACAAAACAAGAAGAACAGAATTTTAATACAAAATTAAAATCAACTCAGAAACGTCAACGTCCAACTTCATCATCATCTGTATCTGATCATTCTCCATCACCATCACACAATCGTCGTTCATTAAAAAAACAGATCTCAACTCAAAATCGTAAACGTTCGAAAACAACCACGCCTATACTAACAAGTAAACGGATACAGCCACAAAGATCAAGTTCGTCCAGTGATACGGAACAAGCAGAAACGGGGAATATTTGTATACGCTCTCGATCGGGTATGTTTTAATACATTGTCTCATTTATTTTGCTTCTATTTTGTTCTTTTGATTAGGGAGAGAAATACCAACAATTGTCAGTGATCCAGTAGTCCCAAGTTATCGAAGGCGAAGAAACCGATCTTCAATAGTTAAAACATCACTCGATACAACATCGACGACTCAAACGTCAAGGTACTGTGTCCATCAAAGGTCTACGTCTTTTGAGATGCGAATATTTCTGTAACAGCTAAACATCAGCTTTGTAGAGAAAAAATCGTGATGTAAAACTAAGACAAGCTAGGTTGTTTTATGAATGCTGAGTAAAATGTACTAAGTATTAGCTTCTAACGCTTTTCTATAGTAGAAATTGTTTCTTGTCGGACTTTTCCTTTGACTATAATTTGTTTTCATATTTCTCTATCAGAGCGTACTTAGAGTGTACTTTAGTAACATGTATTACGCTATTGTGCCGTTGTGAATTTGATGTTTTGGGAAAACCCTCTTAAAATAGCTATGAGCTTATACTTTGTGATTAAAGGATAATTGTGTGCTCTTCTAGACAATAATCTCTTATTTCTACATACAACGAACATAAACGACTTTTTTTATTGCCATTTTGTTTTGTGCATAGTTCATTCTGTTCCACGCAAAGTCATAACAGCTAGTATATCTATTTTAACAAAATCTACACACGCCAACTATTTTTTCCTTTTCTCTGTTTACATTAAAAATGCAAATGCTATCTCTATACTTCTATTCAAAACTTTCAAGACTTTCTCTGTCAGTTGAATTCTTCTGGTGGTCGAACACAATAGTAGTAATTATGTGGAAAGCAAACAAGTAATGCAAAGATCTATATTGATAGCAAATTCCCAGCGTGTTTTTCTCTGTTGTTTATATTGCACATATTTTCTAATAGAATAATATATACTAAGAAAGAAAAACCTTTACTTTCTTTCTTTCTTTCTTTCTTTTTTTTCTATTTTGTCATACAGAAAATGATGGTCATGATTAATACAATGTTCTAGTTTATCTCAGCTAGCATTTTTGTTGCGAGAAATGAATTTTGAAAAATCGCTTCATTCACAAACGTTGTGAACAACATATACCTTGTGTGGATTGAAATTCATCGAAGAATACGAAGAAACGTTTTTGTAAGGAAGACCTATAAATGGTTTTTTTATGAAGGTTTTTTTCTTTATAATGATCCTTGTACATTAAAGACTAACTTTACAATAATGATTAGTTTATAATGAGTTTGTTCTTGCCACCTATTCTAAACCTTGTCTATTTCTGTCATCTTACAAATTGAAGGTGTGATCTAACATTTTTCTCATTTAGTTTTAAGTTGCAAAAGTCATACACACATCGGCAATAGAAGACTGACTATTCTCACATTTTCTTTTTGTTTTGTCGCCATTTGAATAAAATAAAATTTTTAGTATTGAAAGAATTTATTTGTTTCATATAGATTTGAATAGAGTAAATGAAAAGTAAAAATTTCAATTAGTTTTCCTTATATCTTTTTATTTTAACTATTTCCTAGTTTTCACTTGACAGTTTGATAGTTTGAACATTTCTCTATCAATTTATTAGGACTCTATCTACAGGTAACATATCTCTAACTTAATAAACATTCAGAATCGAATGAACATGCTTAGATCTTTTGTAAAATCATTTAAATTTTTGCAAAACTGTTTGTAAAAAAAAGTGAAGCTGGCAACTCTATTATATACTTTGCAATTTCACGAAGAAAGTATCTGGACCACTTAAAAATATACCTTGAGTCTTGACAAAAGCAGAAAGACAAGTGGGAAGATTCATTAAACATGTACTAGTTATTGTCTACGCTAAACTATTGGCGTCTATTGATGTGATAGTTGGTCAATGTTTCCACTATGATTATTTATTTTCAACGTTCTCTCTTATTGGATTTTATGACTAGTGTAACTGGAATGTGAGAGAGACAGTTTTAGTAAAAAACGAATTTTGGCTTCTTAACGGCAGTCATTTAAAGTAACAAAACCTTTTATTTAGTTGTTAACCGACGTTTCGGTCTCCTCACGGAGCCATTATCAAGGAGAGTAAACATTTACAATTGAAAAATCTATTTATATAATGGCTCTATGAAGAGATCGAAACGTCGGTTAACAAATAAATAAAAAGTTTTTGTTAGTTTAAATAAAATCTATTTAATAATGGCTACCGTTAAAAATCCAAAATTCGTTGTAGTGCTATGATTGTTGAAGTACGATTTGTCTTTGACTTGTTGACAAATTTTCTATAGTCTGAATACGATAATTAATTGGAATGAGTGACTTGTAAAATATCATTGCACTATTTTGCCTCTTTAAAATCGCCATGTTTTTATTTCTCGAACTACATATGTAGCTGTTATTCGCCTACTGATTATGGAGTTTTACAGGTGAATGATATTCTGGATAGAGCACGACTGTGTCGAGTATAAATGTACAATAGTTGAAAATCCCACTATGTAGGGAAATTCATTCGGAATCCTAATAGACTTTTAAAAAATTTTCCGCAGAAGTCCCGATGTAATTCAGTCGACGAGAAACATTCACCATTTTGTTTTAGTTCGAGTAAGATAGTACATTAGAATCACTAATTTTGTAAAAAAAATTTCAAGGATCTTAAAACTTTGTCATATTAGTGATCTTAAATAGCCCAGCCGGCTCAAGCTAGCCTCGATCATCAGGTAAACAAGATATTGAAATATCCAAGTGCTAACTACTATCGTGGTCCCGCCAGTTTTCTCAAGAAAGTCTCGATTAGGTTAAACAAGCTAAATTTTTCAGTTTTGGCTGTGTGGATATCAGAAAAATGAATTCACCTAAGATCAACTGATATTTCATCTGTTAGAGAGTATACTCAGTCGACAGATATTTAATGCCTTTACCGCTCGACTAGATTTGTCTAGCTTTTTGCTACATTTTGAATAATTGACGAATGCGATCGTATTAATTTGTTAGGATACATCATAATTGGTTGAATTTAGTGTGTATGTTCGATCTTTTACTGTTGACAAGAAATCGATTATTTGGAACGATCTTCATGAGTTTATATTATCCAAATCTTTCCGTAATTGTTGTCGGATCACCTAGTTTTATTAACTAATATATTGATAATTTTTTAATTAATTTAAATCGGATAATTGTGGATTAGTTCTAAAAGTTATTAAAAATGATGAAAACAATGACGATTCATGTTTTCGTTTTTGTAAATTTGTATTAGTTCTTTTTTGACAAGAATTATTCACGTTTATTTATTCAGTTATTGCTATTCGTTGGCTAACTCCCTAGTTATTGTTATTAAAAGTCTTTAAAAAACTTGAACTTTGAAGCGATATGATGATGAATCATTATCCATGTGTATTTGTGTTGAAAGAGAATTATGGGTGCAAATTGGTAATGAAACATTTTCATCAATTATGATGAAAGAAAGGAAAATAAAAAATAAAATCTCTGCACTACTTATTACACGTGGTAAGTGTGAAATTTTTACATACATAAAGGAAAGAAGAAAAAACTTCCATGTGTCAGCAGTTAGTTTCTATAATTATTTTTTTATTGTGTAAGACGACAACGACAAAGAAATGTATTATTTTATTTTATTTTAAATTACACATATACTGCTTTTGTACATGGCTTTTTTCCCATAACAAAAAAACAATTTTGTTTCTTTCTGGGAAAGAAAAAGATCATTATATAATTAAAAAAAACAAATGAAACATAATTATATTGTAGTTCAGATTATTAATTCCAATAAAAAAGACCCACATATTTACACGATATAATATGACTAATTTTTAAACGACTTTCTAGATAATTGAAAAGGTGTTGATTTTTGATTGTCAATGGACGTTTGAGTATGTAATTAGGTTTAAATCACATATGTAACATTTTCTCTATTCTATTTTAGTCAGTCTCCATCTGGTGGTCCACATTCTGGTCAAGGGACGACGGCCGCCGGTTATTCTGCCGCGTGTGCCTCGTCAAATAATCATATTCATTCTTCATCTCCATCCTCTTCTACAACATCTCCAACACTTTATTTATTTAATCCTACTACACCATATTATTATCCATACGCATCTACAGCAACAACAAATTCATCAACATCTCAATCTCCATCAATTTATACATACAGTAGTGGTACAACAAGAACACCGATTGTAGTTGTACCTAATACAGCATCATCTGTCGTAGCTGGTGCATCAACAACACTTCAACAACAGCATATGTCTGAAAGTGAAGGAGAAAGTGATTTAATGGATCGACATTCAATTGATCCAACATTAGCGCGTGTTGTCAGTAGTTCACGTGGTGCTGATTTACTCGGTTCATTGAATCAACGTTTAAATCAGATGATAACAAGAGTTAATGGAAATTCATCGATGGGTAGATTACCACAATATATTCAACATTTGCAATCGAATGATAATGATTTAAAATTGGCGACATTAAATGATTTATGTCAGGTGTGCGCGAGTTTTAACTATAGTTTTGACTGTAAATGAATAACTTAGCTTTTCTATTTTTTAGTTATTAGTTATGAGTAATGAAGAAACATTACCACAGTTTCCATACAAACAATTGGTACCCTTACTTATACATTGTTTAAGTGATGAAAATGAATTGAATATGGAAATAGCTCATCATGCTTGTCGAGCATTATGCTATTTAATGGAAGCATTACCTAGAGCAACAGTATGCGTCGTCGAAGGAACATCAGTTTTTTTAAATAAAGTAAGTTTAATTCTCTTATTATCACGTTAATTTATATTTTACGATTAATTAATTGTTTTAGATAAGAAGTATTAGTTGTATAGATATTGCTGAACAAAGTCTTATTGCATTAGAAATGATATCAAGAAGGAATGGAAAACATATTCTGATCAATGTAAGTAATCTAAAGGCTAAAAAGTCAGCTATTATTACATTTCTTCGTTTTAGAATGGTATCGGTGCTTGTTTACAACATATTGAATTTTTCTCAATGACATCTCAAAATAAAGCATTAGCTATCGTTGCTAATTGCTGTTATCACATTATTACCCGTCAGGATTTTAATTATATCAAAGAACATTTAGAAAATTTATCAAATCGTTTACGTAGTGAAGATAAAAAATCAATCGACCATGTGTGTAATATTTTCTCCCGATTAGTAGAAAATTTTCATAAAGATCAAGCATTATTACGTGAAATTGCATCAACACAATTGTTGAAAATGATGCAAACAATGTTAGTCTTACAACCACCGGTGTTGACCGGTTCAACATTTGTCAGTATTGTACATACATTATATTTGTTTTGTGCATTTTGTCCACTATTGGCTGTTACTCTATTGAAAATGAACATTGCTGAAACGTTAATATGTTTATTAACGGGTACAGTTGATTCGGGAACACCGAAAAAACCGTTTACTTATAAATCATCGTTACCATCATCTCCAACCGATACAACACCTTCATCCCCATCAACAGCCATGCCATCATTACACCAATCTGTCGGCGTTGAATTAATCTCTCGTACACCACAAGAATTATATGAAATTGTCTCATTAATTGGTGAAATGATGCCAAAATTACCCGATGATGAACCGTTATTTCAAGTCGATCAATTATTGAAACGTGGCCTGTTAAGAAATGATCCAGTGGCGACTTTAAATGCACATGATCATGTTTTGTGGCAATGGCAAGATGATCGAGGTCAATTACATCCGTATTCAATACAGGATTCAAGAATAATTGAACAAGCATGGCAACAAGAAGAAGAAGAAATTTCGTTATCAACAATGGGTCGATCGTATACAATTGATTTCACTGTGATGCAACAAATTAACGAAGAAACAGGAACGCAACGTTTCATACAGAGAAAAGTGAATCCTCTTGCAACACCAGCGGAGTCATCACAACAGGGTGATCAACACACTGCTGAGTAAGTCGAGTTCTCTAACCCATAGAACTATCTGTTTATTGTAATAGGAGAGAGTTGATTTTCCGAAATGAGTTTGTCCTTCTACTCTTCTCACGGTGTACTCTCAATTATGAAAAAGTAATAAATTCAAGCGTTTCTCTAATTTCAGTCAACCTCAACAACCAGATTCACCATCGTCAAATGAAACACCACCAACCACGAATCGATCCGTAACAACAACGACCACTACTACAACAGTTGATTTGTCGTTAATGGATGCTCGAACTGAAATGATGAAAGACAACATTGATTTGTATAGTCAATTTATCCAGTGTCTATTTACCATATTATATGAAGTCTATAATTCTTCAGCTGGTCCAGCAGTTAAACATCGTTGTTTACAGGCATTATTAAGAATGATTTATTTCTCACCGAGTAGTCTTCTAGAAATTATACTTAAACAACAGTCTATTTCGTCACATATAGCTTCAATGCTAGCGTCATCTGATTTGAAAATTGTTATTAATGCATTACAAATGGCTGAAATTCTCATGAAAAAATTACCGAATATATTTTCTATTTATTTTCATCGTGAAGGTGTTGTTCACCAAATTGAAATTTTAATTGATTTTGGTGTTGCTGCCACATCATCGAATCAATCGTCATCAACGGCCGTGAATAACAATGACATTGTACAAATACAAAGTACAAATTCAGCAGCATCGTTGCCACAAATTGATCCAACATTTTTATCAGCATTTAATAATCCAACGACGATTTTACAAATCCCAAATATAGCGGCTACTAGCGTAGTGACACCAATAAACGAAATGCCTCTAGGTTAGTCTTTTTAAGAAGCTGTTTTGATAAAAATATGCTTAAATTAGTGCTTTTAATACACAATTCCTTTTTTATTATTACTTTTTTCTCAGCTTGACGCAACATTGACAGCTTTTAAAAGATTAGAATGATATCATAGATATGAGATATGTTCGCACTTTTTTCTGATTACAACAAAAGTTAAAATGAATTTTCAGTTTAGTAAAGAAACCGCAGTGTTTTACCGATTTTTATTGAATTCCAGATACCTTACTAGATCTTTTATGTATTTTTGTCTTTAATCTTCATCCACCAATATCTTTGTCTTATATAGACGAACAATTACAATTAATGCCGGCTCAAGCTCAACAACAAAATCGTACGACGATAACATCAACAAATCAACCACAATCGGGACGATATTCAACATCTTCTTATCGTGGTCTTGGTCGTCGCGCATATCATCAACAACAGCAACAAGTTGCAGCAGATTTATTACTGAATTCCTCTAGTACAACAGTATTAGAAGCACAACCATCGACATCTCATAGACCAAATACGTACGTAAATTCATATGCTTCGTTTATGCAAAAGAACAAGTAAACAACGTGCTAATAAACAAGAAGTATGGTATTCATATTCTGCTAGTTTAGTTAAATAGTATTCGAGAAAGGAGACAGAGAACGAACCCCTTTTCTTTTCATTCAAGACTTAGTTGAATTGTTCATTATCTTTATTCCATATAACTCCCTTAACATTTTGCCTTTTTATCGTTTAGTCGCAATCGTGGACGTGGTCAACCGTCACAACATGGCGTGAGCGGTAGAGCAGTGAATTATAAAACACCATCTCGTTCGATGTTTGACGATGTAACTACTGTCGATACTCGAACTCAAAAGCCATCATCCTCACGTCATGCTACTGCTTCTTCATCAACGGGTACACTAGACTTAGGCAATAGCCGATCTTATGGTCGAGGTCATTCACGTCCAAGTTTACGTACACCCGTTCTACCGAATCCATCATTTGGCACGTCAGCAACTTCTAATTTCAATTATGCCATACGCCCAGTTATTCAAAGAACATCAGCTATCGTAGATCAGCATTTTCCTCCTACATATTATTTACCACCAGCGCGGCCAATTATTCCCACAGAGACCTCGTTACACACATCAACGTCGTCTCAATCACCAGCTATGAGTAGTCCTTTGTATGTCCCTCCCACATTATCATCTCAATATCTTCAGCAACAGTTTGCTTATGCAACGGGTATTCCTTTATCCGGCATTCATCAACATCCAAATTATCATCATCCTCAACCAAGTTCAGTTTTGACAAATAATGAAAAAGCGAAATGGAAAGAATGGATTCAACAGCAAGCAAAAACATTTCGTCAAACTTATTTTTCTTCTCATCAGTCAAACGACTCAGCATTAACTGTAATTACACGTTTAGGCAAAGCTGTCGATCAAATAAGTGTCACAGCAACAACAACTACAAACGATGAAAATATGTTGGCATTAAAAGAAATATCATCGATAATAGCCAATGGTGATGTGTCTCCATTTGAAATGGTTCATAGTGGATTAATCATAAAACTATTTCAATTTTTATTTGATAATACGCCACAAACATACGAACGTCAACAACGTTTGAAAGAATTTTTAAATGTTCTCTTTGATTTACCATTACAAAACTCGTGCGATATCAGCAGCTCTGAATCGTTTTTAAAAACATTCATCATCGATTTATATCATACACAATTTAGTGCAAATAATAATGTCACTGCTAGTCAACGTAAACATTCAATCAGAGGAGAGCAACGAAATGATACTGGTGAACACAATATTTTTTACCATTTAGTTAATAAATTACACGGATGTATTAATCAATTGGAACAATTTCCAATTAGAGTACATGATATACCGGGGACAAGTACCATACGAAATCCAGCATTGAAATTTTTAACTAGTCATCAATTAAAATGTAATCTTGTTCGACATCAAGATTGTAAAACATTAAAACAATGGAATAGTGGACCTGTGAAAATCGATCCTTTAGCACTAGTATCAGCTATTGAAAGATATTTATTACTAAGAGGAATTGCTAGTGGAAATACGGTAAGTAAAACAAGTATATAAGCGGTATACAAGGCGGTAGTTATGAAGATTTTGTTAGTAGTCGGTGTAGTATTCATTCTTAGTGTTTGGTAGAGTCAGAGTGATCTTTAATTAGCCTCGACATGAAACTTTAAAAATTTGATCGGAGAATATCATACTTCCGTATTGTTTTCATATCATTACTGAAATCACATGTTCTCCTATATTAAAAGCATCATCGATCACCATTTACGGCTTTTTTTGCTGAGAAAGGGGAAAAATGACTTTTGCAACAGATAGTTAACACCGATTAGCTTTTAGTGTAGATATTCGAAGCATCTAAGAAATAAATGAGTAGTCAAAGAATTTCGATCGTGTACTTCTGTAAGCTCAAAGAAATAAATCGTTGTTTGAACTCCAATTTACAAACAAAAAGTAAAATCAGAAAGGTGAATTTTGGTAGCGTTGAGTCGATTGCACAACTTCAAGCATTGCATAACACATGGGTTCGAGTCTATAGGACCTTTTTATAGTTTAAGGTTTAGAATAGTATAATGAATTTACTTTCATTCATATTCTCGAAAAAATAACGCTTATATCGGTTTTAACTTTAATACTTTCAAGTGTATCGAAGAAAATGGTAATTCTTTTAACTAAACGAGTGGTTCTTTTTTTGTAGGATGATACGGGTGGAACAATGGATGATGAAGAAAGTGAAGTATCGAATGAATCTGATGCTGAAGATGTCATCAATGTGTTAACTCGTTCGACAACATTGCGTTTAGAATTTTTAATTAATGAACGCATAATACCGCATAACATGACAATTTATCAAGCAATCAAATTATACAGTATGACACCAGATTCTGAAACGGAAACAGGTAATGATTTGTAGAACGTTCAAAATTGAGTCTGAGACAAAGCGACTAAGTCGTAATTGGTTCATTTTCTGTCTTTGTGCTATTTTGAATTTTTTATTGTTTCAGATAGTGAATCTGTATTAACCAGTAATATTTGGTCAAAAGTTCACACAATTTCTTATCGTCAAGCGTCTTCGTCTCCCCTTTCAACAACGACTACATCAATGACAGCAACAACAACAGTTGCTGCTTCGATCTCTCCAGCATCAGCGATATCCAATGCTACTGGTTCTGCTGCATCAATAACCGCTTTAACAACATATTCACCCAGATCTGGTGGACAAACCAAAGCCAATTCCAAAAAAACGTCTAAAACAGCGATAAGTGGAGCACAAAACCTATCAAAACGTAGTTCCGTTGATGAATTGTGGATAAATGGTCTATGCCCAAAGGCGAAATCATTGTTAACCTTAACTTTAAACGAGTCAATGCCAACCACGTTAACAGTAAATGATTCATCATTAAATGCCATATTTCTACTACGTATTCTAAACGGTTTAAATTTATATTGGTATGACTTGTATCATGATACGAGCACAATGGTAATTATGAACAATAACAACAATATAAATGCTTCCTCTTATTTGACACTTATTCCAAAAACAGAATTTTTATCCATTAAATTATCATCAAAAGTCAACAGACAACTACAAGATCCATTAGTGATTATGACTGGAAATGTACCTGCGTGGGTGACGGAAATTGGTTACACTTGTCCCTTTCTATTTCCATTTGAAACAAGGCAAATGTTATTTTACGTCACAGCATTTGATCGAGATCGAGCAATGCAACGATTATTAGATAGTTCTGATATGATGAATCAACAACATAATGATCAAAATGAGCGATCCTCCGTGGCGCCAAGAATTGAAAGAAAAAAAGTACGAAGTGGTTATCTAGTCTAACTTGTCATTGTCTTATCATTGTCTAACTCACTACTACGCTTCTAGGTTCAATTATCAAGAGCAAATATCCTTGCTGAAACAGAAAAAATTTTTGCAAGCTGGAATAACAAAGCCTATCTTGAAGTTCAATACGAAGATGAGGTAATTAGAATCATTTTGATTATTTTCTATCATGGTTATGCCGTTTTTTCTTTCTGTAGGTTGGTTTCGGTCTTGGTCCAACATTAGAATGTTATTCAATGGTTTCAAAAGAATTACAGAAAAATAATTTAGAATTATGGCGTTCAGATAAAATGTTCGAATCATCACATGGTAAGTTATACTTTTGTTTGCATTAATACAAACTTATTTGCTTTGTATTCAAGATGCATCATCGTCATCGACTTACGTCGATACAACCGATGGTTTGTATCCAGCACCATTTGGTAGAAATGCTAAATCGACTTCTATAACAAAAGTTCGACAAAAGTTCAAATTCTTGGGAAAATTTATGGCAAAAGCGTTAATGGATTCAAGAATGGTAAGAGTTTAGTAAATTTAAAAAATGTATCAAATTCAAAATAGTTCTAATTTGAACTGACTTCAGAGGTTTTATTGCCGTAAAGCACCCCTTTAGTTTTATATCATTGGTCTAAGATGAAGTATGTTTCGCATTAAAAGATGTATAATTACTGAGTAGTAGTGATAAGCATAGTATTTATTATATGATAAGGATGATCACTATTGTTATATTCCATTTTGTTTAGATCGATATGCCATTCAGTATTGTATTTTATAAATGGATGTTGGCTCAAGAAGATAGTTTAAATATTGAAGATTTGATTCACGTTGACACTAATTTATATCAACAATTTAAAAAATTAGAAAATATTGTTCATCAGCGTGATAAACTACAACAAATGTCAAAAGGAAAAAAACGACTGAAATCCAAAGATGATCCCATACATAATAACAACAATACATCATCTAATTTTATCGATACCGTTGTTAACGATAACGATGATAGTTTAAAATTGGATGGTTGTTCAATCGACGATTTAGGTTTATGTTTCACATTACCCGGATTTAACCATATTGAATTGAAAAAAGGTGGTAGAGATTGTTCTGTAAATCTAAGTAATTTAGATCAGTACATTAATGTAAGTATTCTAGTATCTTAAAATATTTTGTTAAATTAATAGCCAAAGTTTTTCTTCTTACAGCTTGTTGTCTATTGGACATTAGTGGAAGGTGTTCGTCGACAGTTTGAATCGTTTCGTGATGGTTTTAATTCCATATTTCCGATTCATCATTTGAAATGTTTTTATCCGGATGAAGTAAGTGAAATTTATTCACAATTGTTTGTATTAATCTATTAATCTATTTATATATTTTTTGCTTTTTAGCTTCATCAAGTATTTTGTGGTAGTGGTGCTACTGATTTATGGGATCTCAAAGTACTATTGGAATCGACACGTTGTGATCATGGTTATAATTTAAATAGTCGTGCTGTCAAATGGTTATTTGAAATTATGATTGATTTTGACATTGACGAACGTCGAGCATTTTTACAATTTGTTACTGGTAGTCCACGTTTACCTGTCGGTGGTTTTCGTACACTACATCCACCGTTAACTGTTGTCCGTAAAACAGTTGAAAATGAAAATCCTGATAATTTTCTACCTAGTGTTATGACGTGTGTCAATTATCTAAAATTACCCGATTATACATCAAAAGATATTATGAAAACAAAATTATCAACGGCCATACATGATGGACAATTTGCATTTTTATTGTCATAAATATATATGACACGAAAGTGATATAAACATTTGCAAAAATCTAAAACGAGTTTTCGCCTATCTGTGTGAGAGACAGGGAGAGAGAGTGTGTGTGTATGTGTGCGTATATTCATGAGTTTTTTCTTCTTTGTATATAAAACATGTATTTTTCTTTTTCTTTACTCCTTGTTTTATGCTTGTTGTTGTCGTCTTGTTTTTATATTGTTGTTGCGCTTTCAAGAAATATTTAAAAAGTCAAACTCCAGAATATATATTTTAAAAAAAAGAATTTTTTAATTAAGATTCAATATGTCAGCTCTTTATAAGAAATATCGATCAAATCGGACAACTCCTAAACAGTCAGAAAAAGAATAACTATGGAATCATCTACTATTAGCTAAAGTTGCTCTTTTTTGTGAAAACTAAAAACGAAGATACATAAACAACACACAGTATCGTTTCTCGCTCGTCTTCCTTTATGTATGTGTGTGTGTGTGTTTATTTACGTACATCTCTCTTTCTTCTATATATATTTAAATGTATATTTGATACGTTTTGTTTCTGTTGTAGTTGTAAGAGAAGAGATGTTTCTTTTTTTTTCAGTGAGATTTTTTTGTTGTCGCCATTCTTTCATCTTTTACGATTATTATTATTATATTACAAAAATATATCATTTTTTTTTGAATACTTTACAGCGAATACAATTTTATGTTTTAACGTTTAAACAAACATATTGGGGTCTTTTGTCACCAGTTATTTAGTCAAAATGACGAAGCAAGATTGAAAAATCGTTTCACGATAGGATCGTTTAGCTGCAGAAGAAGTCACTTTAGATTCTATTTTTATTTAAGTTGCTCAATTGTAAATCTCTTTCTGCCTCTTAATAATTCGTTTACGGATCCTTTATTCTGATGTGTCTTTCTTCTGGCCAAACTTTCATTATTACGTGGAAGAAGTCGTTTTAAATAATTTGAAGTGATAACATTTAAACGAGTCATATAACAGACCCCAAAGTTTTATGTATTATCTACTTCTACTGAATCTATACTATTAACAATGCATTTCTATACGGTTCTTGGATACGAAGTTTTTACTTAGATATATCGATTATAAGAATCACTCATCTTAAGCTGTGTTTCTATGTTTTATTAAAAATTTTTCAGATAACATACCATCATGGATCCAGCTACTCAATCGTTTAATCCATTTACTCAACAGCAGTCACAGGGTTATTTGAGTCAAGTACCAGATGAAGACCAAGAAGAGGTTAGAAAAAATGATTTTTTGATTGTTTTTATGGATGTTTTTTTTGTGTTTTTCATGTATTAGATGAATGAAAATGGTGATAGTCTAAGTTCACCCCCGTTATCACCAAATGATCCGGAAAAAAGTGGAACACACGAAGGATCGAATGATGGTGTGGAAATTGATGAAGGTCCTGCTTCACCTGCTATTTCTGAATCTGAACAATTGTTATCACCAGCAGTCGTAGAAACACAAGATGATCGTGTTGAATATGACATTGAACAACAAAGTCAAGTATATGATCACATTCCGAGTGATAACGAAATTGAAGAAGAAGAGGAACAAGCAGAACCAGATGGGGAACAAGCAGAGCCAGATGAGGAGCAAGCAGAACCAGATGAGGAGCAAGCAGAACTAGATGAGGAGCAAGCAGAACTAGATGAAGAACAAGCAGAACCCGATGTGGAACAAGCAGAACCAGATGAGGAGCAAGAAATAGTTTCGCGTACTCAACAACAACAACAACAACAACGTCGACGTGTTCAAATAATGGATGATTCGGACGCAGAAGATGATGAAGCAAATAAAGAAGAAGAAACATCAGTACAAAAAGATAAAAAACAAAATTTTCTTAAACAGTTTACGTAAGTGTTTGCAAATGTGATTAACAAAAGATCAACTCTTTATCAATTTCATTTTTTTTCCTCATCAGGACACCAGCTGTTAATGATGCATCAAAAAAACGGAAAAAACAGCGAAGTGATGAGATCGATGGAAAACGGAAACACCAATATAAACGTCCTCGGCATTCGAGTGATGCCGATGAAGAAGAACAGCATCCAGAAGAAGACGAATCAGAAATACAAAACAATGATAAAGAGTATGTTTCATGAAAAGTACGAATTGAAGTTTAGTTAAGGTTTCATTTGTAGATCGGATGTAGAAGATGTTGTCGAAGATATATTTGGAAAAGAAGCAACAGGTGACGAGGTGAGCTTCAGAATAGTTGTTAAGTTTGTCAGCTGTAAATATTTTTTCTAAACTTTAACCTGTAGGATCAAGAAAAAGAAGAAGTCGAACAAGCATCAGATGGTAAGACATAAAAGTTTTTTATACTAATGATAGAAGAGTTGGAAGTGTATTGTCTTTGAGTTTTATTGATTGATATTTCTTGTGCATCAGTTTGCTTCTTTTAATTCTTTATGCCAAAGTTCATACGATTACAAATAAAAAAACATTATACTTTCTCATGTTATACTCTTTTTCTTGTAGAAGAGCAGGAAGAATTAGAAGCAGATTTAGCCGATTTGACGACGGAAAAACAAGATGAAGAAGAAAATGAACTTGATCAACAACAAGCAGGAACTTATGATAATGAAGATGATGAGGAACAAGACGAAGGCTTTGAACGAAAGAAAGAGTTTGTTAAACCAAAGTAAATTTTATACTTTTTATGTAGATATTGACTACTATTTGTCTCATATACGTCTGTTTAGTGATATTGATGATATTGATATTGATGTTATTTTGGAGAGAAAAGCTGAAAAACGTCGTGGTAAAAAACGTCGTAAAAATGGTGATGTTGATTTAAGTAATAATAATGACGATCAACTCGTGGCGAAATTGATTGACAAAATGAGAATAGCTACCGAAGAAGATCGTATTTTTAATAAAAGTCGTCAACCTGCAACAGCGAAACTGTTATTATTGCCAGTTGTTGAGCAACAATTGTACAGGTAAACATTTAGTTTGAGCTAGTTGACTAAATTATTTACAAGAGAGTGCGAGTGTTACTTCTGTAAGTTATATTCTATTTACGAAATATTGATACAGTTTTATGTTAATTAATCATTTGAAATATCTCACCTATATCATTGATTCACGTTTTTAGAGCCGATTTAACTGATACATTTCTTGAAAGTGGTTTGTTGGACGTTATGAAAGTAAATAATTAATATTATTCACTTGAAGTTTTATACAGTTGAATCTTATTGTTTGACTTAGGACTGGCTTAGTCCATTGCCTGATAAAAGTTTACCCAATATCAAAATTCGTGAATCATTCATTAAAATATTACAACAAGTAGGAAATTACGATTTAATTGATATGAAATACAAAAATTGTTTACTTTTTATATTAGATGGGAACAATATCGGCTTATCTATTACGTAAAAGTGGCATTGGCAAAGCGTTAATGTTTTTGTATAAACATCCACGCGAAACTCAAACAAATAAAATTAAACTAATCAAAATTATACGTATGTATACATCATCAATTTGTTCTTCTCTTTTAGTCATATGAATGTATTTATTTTTAGATGATTGGGCTCGACCAATATTTCATCTTGATACAGATTATAAACTATTGTCACGAGAAGAACGTCAACTACGTGATCAAGCATCACAATTAAAGAAAAATTTGACATCATCTCGTACAACAAAAACAAGAAATGCCGATGTTGATTTACCATTTTCAAATGATCAGTAAGCTACAATGAATAAGATAATTATCTATCTATAAAAGGACTATTTTAGACTACAAGATGAAGAGCCGGATGCTGATGATGTTGCTTGTCCACGAGCTCGTGTGCCACGACCATCGACAAAAGATTACGTTGTTCGACCAACGTCGACTGTTGATTATTCCGATAAAAAGGTATTCATAAGGTTTGATTGAACCTTTGAAGGAGAAGATTGATCAAGATTAAATCGTTATATAAGAGTTTTTAGAGAAATCTTGCAATAAAAACCATTGTGTGTGAAGAGAGTAGAATCTGCCACGTTTTCCTGACATTGAAGATGACCGTTTTTTCTCGTTTAGGATGATAATAAAAAGAAAACAGTCTCTCGGTTAGATGAAATAAAACGTCGTCAACAAGATAAAAAACGAACATCGAAACCATTGCCAATGATTAAATTATCAATTGAAGGAAACAAAATGCATCTTTAATGGATATTTATATATTAAAAAAGACCTTTGTTCTAGTAACTGTTTATCTCTCTTTCTGTCGATTAGTCTCGTTTTGTAAAAAGTCATTTATTTTTGTACAAAAATGTTAGCGAATAACCTGAATAGGAGTGTATGTGTTTGTGTGTTTGTGCGCGTCGTTCGTTTATTCTAAAAGACAGTTGTTTTATTGCTATTTATGCTTTCTTATTTTCTAAAGTATTCGTTGAAATGATTAGATTTCATTTTTTCTATTGTTTGTATTTTTCATTTTGGCGATTAGAGTAAGATGACTGAAGGATGACCTTGAATGAATTTCTAACAGTGTTTTCAGAGAAAAAGGAGTTTTTGACTAGTTAGCAGTTAGTCATAGAACATATGATGAATAACTAGTGTTTCTCCAATTTGCCTTCTTGAAATCAAAATCAAAAATGACAGTGGATCGATCGTTCTAGAGAAAGTTAAAAAATCTTTTGCTCTAAGTCAAACACGTAATGAAATTTTGTTTCTAGGTCATATCTAAATAAGTATGGGTTCACTTGGTATTGTTGATCAATTTAGAAATGTTTTGGGACTACAACTTGAAATTTGTTCACAAGCACCCTTAACTGGATTTTTTCGAAATGGTAAAAGCATAACCGATCCTCTCTCTTAAACTAATTATAAATTTGCTAATATTTTGTAATTTTTCAGGATATTGTGCAACATGTCCTGAAGATTTTGGCGTTCATACCGTTTGTGCACAAATGACAGACGATTTTTTAAATTATACAAAACAACAAGGAAACGATTTATCTGCACCTCAAGCACATTTTCCCGGTTTAAAAAGTGGTGATCGATGGTGTTTGTGTGCTGAACGATGGAAAGAAGCATTTCAAGCTAATTTGGCACCACCACTCTTCTTGAAAGCCACACATTACAACACGTTGGACATTATATCAATAGAAAATTTAGTATCAAAAGCACTAGATAATCACTGAGTGCATAAAATTAGTTCAGTTCTTGATTTAGTTGCCATACATTTTCATTATATTTAATTCACGCAATATGTTAATTCTGCTTCTAATTATTTATTAAATTTGTGTACATTATGCTTCTTTAAGTATATTTAATACGTGATCTATAAAGATTTGCTAAAGCTAATCGATTGAAAGAAATGTGTGATCGTTTCTCATTTTTACCTTCTTTTAGAAGAACAGAAAAGACAAATGTATAGATTGTGCATATTTTAACTTTCTCTTCAGTTACATCAAATTTTCTGCATAGTAAATTTCGTATCTCATTGTCTGATGATGAAATGTGTACATTTCGAAATATCACATTGTGTATAATAATAAATTAGAATAACTAAACTTAAAGCTGCTGTAAATTGTATCATATTTTTACAATATTTTCTCTCCTATTGTAGCATGATAATCATTAATCTTTTAAATTTTAACTTTTTTCTCATATTTTGTAGATCAAAAATAAAAATAGGTTTCTTCTAAAAGATGTCTGAACGAAAAGTTTTGAACGTAAGTATCATTATTTCTCGTTTCCTATATTTTAAAAGTTTTCAATTTTTCTTTATTTAGAAATATTATCCACCCGATTTTGATCCATCACGATTACCAAGAGTGAAACGTGCTAAAAATCGTCAATTTACTATACGTTTGATGGCGCCGTGCAATATGAGGTTAGTATAGAGTTTTATACATTAATCAAAAGTATACTAATGTATTCTTTCTTTTAATGATAGATGTAAAGCATGCGGTGAATACATATATAAAGGAAAAAAATTCAATGCACGAAAAGAAGATGTTATTGGTGATACTTATCTTGGAATTCAAATATATCGATTTTATATCAAATGTACCAAATGTCTCCACGAAATAACATTTAAGGTATATTGCACCATCTGTTAGAAGAGTTGAATTTAAATATTTTTTTAGTACCTTTTTACTATTAAAACGTCAGACCATTCGTTTTTCGTCAATTTTTTATTTGTACTTATTTACAGCGTATGATCAAATTTTTTATTCTTTAGACTGATCCATCGAATGGTGACTATGAATTGGAACATAGTGCTATTCGAAATTTTGAATCTATTCGATTAGCTGAAAAGCAAGCTAAAGATGATCAGAAACAAAAAGCAGAAGAAGAAGCCACAAATCCAATGAAGGTAAAATTGGAGTGAGAAAGTGAAAAAGAGATGATTTAATTATATTTTGTTGTTTATTGTAGTTACTAGAAAATCGCACACGTGATTCCCGTCAAGAAATGGCCACAATCGAAGCATTGGAAGATATAAAAGAACTGAATGCACGACAATCATCGATAGATCCATTACAAATGTTACTTGCACAACAAGAACAAGCTAAACAATTAGCAATAAGAAGAAAACAAATGGAAGAGGAAGACGATTTGGAAGAAATTAGGTAAATTGAAGAATATCTTCTGCTTTACCGACAACTTAGAAGAAATACGGATGTACAGAATCTATTTTTACATTTAGAAGAGCATTTCGTAAAAATGTGGTGAAATATGAAGAATATGAAGATGATAAAGAAGTAAATGATGACAAATCGGAGATAACAGTTGATCTAGTTGAAGAAGAAAAACCCATTGTATCAAGCAATAATGATTCAGATCAGAAACGCAAAGTAAGTTCGGATTTGCAAATGTATTTAGTATTGTTGTAACTGTATAAATTTCTTTTAAGATGCCGATAGTGTTTGCTCAACCAAATCCATCTATTACAAAACAAAAACAGTTATTAAACATGCTTGTTCGAAAAAAAATAAAAACGGATGAAAATCCTAAATCGCAATCAAAACCAACAAGTTTATCGCTTTTAGCGGCTTATGCTGACGATGATAGTAGTGATAATGATTAGAAAAACTGAAATTGTTTTCATTGTTTATTTATCTGTTTTTTTTTTGTATATATTTAACTCTGAAATAGATCGTGCTTGAATAAATCTGGATTGATCAATCGAAAATAACCTTGTTGTTTTTTTTTGTCACTTGATATTCAACTAGAGCTAGTGATAATAAGATTGAAAATCTTTTGATTGTACTAAAAAAAGAAGCTGGAATATTGATAGTCGATCTGAACAGAATTTTCTGTTTTTAGAGTAATTTTGACATACTCTGAGTTACACCGGTGAAATTTGAATTCAAAATAAAGGTTGAAAATTTAGAAGGCAGAAACAATGCCTCGTAGTTCGAGTCTATTATCATCACAAGTTAGTTCAGTTAACAAACATTATGCAAAGCCAAAAGTTCATAATGTTCATGCTCGTAATAAAACTCAATTTTCAATAGATTTCATTTTTTCTATTGTTTGTATTTTTCATTTTGGCGATTAGAGTAAGATGACTGAAGGATGACCTTGAATGAATTTCTAACAGTGTTTTCAGAGAAAAAGGAGTTTTTGACTAGTTAGCAGTTAGTCATAGAACATATGATGAATAACTAGTGTTTCTCCAATTTGCCTTCTTGAAATCAAAATCAAAAATGACAGTGGATCGATCGTTCTAGAGAAAGTTAAAAAATCTTTTGCTCTAAGTCAAACACGTAATGAAATTTTGTTTCTAGGTCATATCTAAATAAGTATGGGTTCACTTGGTATTGTTGATCAATTTAGAAATGTTTTGGGACTACAACTTGAAATTTGTTCACAAGCACCCTTAACTGGATTTTTTCGAAATGGTAAAAGCATAACCGATCCTCTCTCTTAAACTAATTATAAATTTGCTAATATTTTGTAATTTTTCAGGATATTGTGCAACATGTCCTGAAGATTTTGGCGTTCATACCGTTTGTGCACAAATGACAGACGATTTTTTAAATTATACAAAACAACAAGGAAACGATTTATCTGCACCTCAAGCACATTTTCCCGGTTTAAAAAGTGGTGATCGATGGTGTTTGTGTGCTGAACGATGGAAAGAAGCATTTCAAGCTAATTTGGCACCACCACTCTTCTTGAAAGCCACACATTACAACACGTTGGACATTATATCAATAGAAAATTTAGTATCAAAAGCACTAGATAATCACTGAGTGCATAAAATTAGTTCAGTTCTTGATTTAGTTGCCATACATTTTCATTATATTTAATTCACGCAATATGTTAATTCTGCTTCTAATTATTTATTAAATTTGTGTACATTATGCTTCTTTAAGTATATTTAATACGTGATCTATAAAGATTTGCTAAAGCTAATCGATTGAAAGAAATGTGTGATCGTTTCTCATTTTTACCTTCTTTTAGAAGAACAGAAAAGACAAATGTATAGATTGTGCATATTTTAACTTTCTCTTCAGTTACATCAAATTTTCTGCATAGTAAATTTCGTATCTCATTGTCTGATGATGAAATGTGTACATTTCGAAATATCACATTGTGTATAATAATAAATTAGAATAACTAAACTTAAAGCTGCTGTAAATTGTATCATATTTTTACAATATTTTCTCTCCTATTGTAGCATGATAATCATTAATCTTTTAAATTTTAACTTTTTTCTCATATTTTGTAGATCAAAAATAAAAATAGGTTTCTTCTAAAAGATGTCTGAACGAAAAGTTTTGAACGTAAGTATCATTATTTCTCGTTTCCTATATTTTAAAAGTTTTCAATTTTTCTTTATTTAGAAATATTATCCACCCGATTTTGATCCATCACGATTACCAAGAGTGAAACGTGCTAAAAATCGTCAATTTACTATACGTTTGATGGCGCCGTGCAATATGAGGTTAGTATAGAGTTTTATACATTAATCAAAAGTATACTAATGTATTCTTTCTTTTAATGATAGATGTAAAGCATGCGGTGAATACATATATAAAGGAAAAAAATTCAATGCACGAAAAGAAGATGTTATTGGTGATACTTATCTTGGAATTCAAATATATCGATTTTATATCAAATGTACCAAATGTCTCCACGAAATAACATTTAAGGTATATTGCACCATCTGTTAGAAGAGTTGAATTTAAATATTTTTTTAGTACCTTTTTACTATTAAAACGTCAGACCATTCGTTTTTCGTCAATTTTTTATTTGTACTTATTTACAGCGTATGATCAAATTTTTTATTCTTTAGACTGATCCATCGAATGGTGACTATGAATTGGAACATAGTGCTATTCGAAATTTTGAATCTATTCGATTAGCTGAAAAGCAAGCTAAAGATGATCAGAAACAAAAAGCAGAAGAAGAAGCCACAAATCCAATGAAGGTAAAATTGGAGTGAGAAAGTGAAAAAGAGATGATTTAATTATATTTTGTTGTTTATTGTAGTTACTAGAAAATCGCACACGTGATTCCCGTCAAGAAATGGCCACAATCGAAGCATTGGAAGATATAAAAGAACTGAATGCACGACAATCATCGATAGATCCATTACAAATGTTACTTGCACAACAAGAACAAGCTAAACAATTAGCAATAAGAAGAAAACAAATGGAAGAGGAAGACGATTTGGAAGAAATTAGGTAAATTGAAGAATATCTTCTGCTTTACCGACAACTTAGAAGAAATACGGATGTACAGAATCTATTTTTACATTTAGAAGAGCATTTCGTAAAAATGTGGTGAAATATGAAGAATATGAAGATGATAAAGAAGTAAATGATGACAAATCGGAGATAACAGTTGATCTAGTTGAAGAAGAAAAACCCATTGTATCAAGCAATAATGATTCAGATCAGAAACGCAAAGTAAGTTCGGATTTGCAAATGTATTTAGTATTGTTGTAACTGTATAAATTTCTTTTAAGATGCCGATAGTGTTTGCTCAACCAAATCCATCTATTACAAAACAAAAACAGTTATTAAACATGCTTGTTCGAAAAAAAATAAAAACGGATGAAAATCCTAAATCGCAATCAAAACCAACAAGTTTATCGCTTTTAGCGGCTTATGCTGACGATGATAGTAGTGATAATGATTAGAAAAACTGAAATTGTTTTCATTGTTTATTTATCTGTTTTTTTTTTGTATATATTTAACTCTGAAATAGATCGTGCTTGAATAAATCTGGATTGATCAATCGAAAATAACCTTGTTGTTTTTTTTTGTCACTTGATATTCAACTAGAGCTAGTGATAATAAGATTGAAAATCTTTTGATTGTACTAAAAAAAGAAGCTGGAATATTGATAGTCGATCTGAACAGAATTTTCTGTTTTTAGAGTAATTTTGACATACTCTGAGTTACACCGGTGAAATTTGAATTCAAAATAAAGGTTGAAAATTTAGAAGGCAGAAACAATGCCTCGTAGTTCGAGTCTATTATCATCACAAGTTAGTTCAGTTAACAAACATTATGCAAAGCCAAAAGTTCATAATGTTCATGCTCGTAATAAAACTTTAGCGAAACCATTTGTTCAAAGTCAACAATCACATAGTTATTTTCAACAATCAACAGAAATTGCCCAACAATATATAGATCATCGAAATATTAAGAATGAATATAATGATGAAAATAATAATATTAGTAATTTTGAAATAGTACTAGATAATTTATCAACAAGTGCGTAGATACCAATCTTTGTATTCATTATGATATACTATATTAAAGTTTGAAGTGAATTTTAGATTCTTTCACTGTACCAGCATCCGATTTGTTGTCATCACCTTCGACGATAGTCTCAGTGGATTTACATACATTGTCCTATTTTGACGAGCGGAAAAGATGCTACAATCTTGTTGAACAAGACAACAAAACAGTGCGTAATTCATTTGAAAAAAATTAATTTTTGTGTTTTTTTCAATTTTATCAAGGCTTAACTATTTTAGTGCAATACAATAAGTCATTTGGTTGAAGATAAATCATGTCAAATTATTGTATCATTTACGAATTTGGATGCCGAACAGATGGTATGCATTGTAACGTCTTTTATCTTTTATAAATTCATCGTCTATTTCTAATTTTTATTTGTTTAATATTAGGTTAAATTATTAAAATGTTTACAATTATTTTCTATTCGTTTAACAGAGAATAATGAAATTGATGTAACAACAACTCATTTAATAACAGATGATTCACAAGAACATTTAGTGTGTACATTAACTAGAAAAACGTTTCAAGCCGTTGCACGTCATTTATTTGTTATTTCACATCGTTGGCTAGATGAATGTTTAAAACAAAATCGAATTATTGATGAACGTCCGTATGAAATACATGGTGATCTCTCATTATCAAAACATCATAATGGTTTTGGTTTTTCACGAGTTCTTCGACGTCCTTTATTTCAAAATCTATACTCTGTTGTTGTTGATTGTGATCATTTTCAAAATATAATTAATAAACAAGAATTAATTGAACTTATTCAACTATGTGGTGCAATTTCAGTCGATAAAAATTTTGATTTTTCAGATAATCAACAAACATATGTTATTTTATGTGAGGAAAAATATCTTAAAGATCATTATTATCATGAACGGTATAAAGATGAAAAGAATATACATATTGTATCGCCAGAATGGTTACTCGAGTCAATTGCTAAATATGAAATTCAACCATTCGATGAATATGAAAAATCAATTTCTTAGATATATTATACTCTTTTGTTCATCTTTGTCATTTTTCAATAAAGTCTTTCAAAAATATTGTTTTGTTTTTTCTTCTTGTCTCAAATATTTGTGTTTTGGATATACTTGTCAATTATTCATTGTAAAAATTAAACTTTTCTAGTCTTTCTGCTTTTTTTTCTATTGTTTTTCTTTTTGATATTGTTTTTTCTTTCTGCACATTTTTTTGTATTTTTGTTACAGTACTAATTTAAAAATACTATACGATAAATGAAATAAATAGCATAATTGAATATTTTTTGACATAGACTAGTTGTAATCGCTTTTGAGGTCTAGTTATACGGACGCATAGCGAAAGCTAGACTCGAGAAAACTGAAAGTCGGTTGAAGAAAGCTTCTAAAATCGAAACTTTGTCAATAAATCGAATGAGTTATTGTGCCCTCAACCCGATAACGACAGCTTTGTATTAGTGGCGTAGCCACCGGGTAGGCTCAGCCCTCCCCTCATTAAAAGTTTTATAACTCACGCTACTCTGCGGTTAAAGCTTATAAATTCTGATTTTTTTACTGACAGAAAAATCTCTATAACTTTCCTTTGGTTTGTGCTACACACTCGCGGCTTTCAGATTTGAGTTCCGCGTTGAAAACTAATTTTAGATCAACTAATTTCCGATTCCTCAACCGTTATTTTGAATTTTAG